TTGTAATTGTGAAGCACCATTACGAGCTCAATATACAGCCAAGAAAATTTGGGAACACCTTCAACTTTTTTGTCCGTGTGCCGGCACCAAGTGCGTCGTCACAGAGAGAGAGAGCTGTCTCTTATACACATCTAGATGTGTATAAGAGACAGCACACACACACACACACACACAGAAACACACACACACGCAACAAGACACAAAGCAGAGGTCACCCAAAATTGCACTTCCTCAATTGAAGATTAGGACAGCAAGGAGCCAATTCTTGTGTACTTTAGTGGCAAAGCAAGAAGCCAATCCCTCGACAGACACGACATCATATTAATGCATTCTGTAGATCCAACGTCTTCGACTGTTCGCCCACAGCGCCGCCAGTTCCTCTCGCGCCTCGGAATCCTTTTTTCAATTCCACAAATCTCTTCATGCACTGTGTTTTTGTCTTCCCTGGCACTGCGCTAGCGATTCTTTCCCATCTCATCGCCGTGTCCTTCGGGAACTCCTTCATCGCCCGAACCAAGGACACGTCCTGTACGTCATTCCACAAGTCGCTTTCTCTCGTGCCTCCGCCGTCTCCGTCTTCATCTCCTTCTTCTTTGTCGCCTTCACCCTGTGTTCCACCCCTATCACTGTCATCCTTGTCCTCCATAGACCGCAGGCTTGGCTCCGATGTAATTTCCAGTCCTGTCTTCTTCCTCTGCGCTACAAACGACATAAACGACTGCCCGTCGACAGGTTTCCTCTCTGCCATTTCCTTCGCCTTCTTCACAACCTCGTCGGCACTCCTCCCAGTGCCGATCGCCTCGGCAATCACCTCCCATCGCTTCAGCGTCCCTCGGGGAAATTTGGCGATCCCCTTCCGCAGGGCTTCCAGCTCCTCGTCGGTCCAGGGGCCCCCCTTTTTCGACGGGCGACGGCTACTTTGCCTGTGGGAGTCCTCGTCCGAGACTTTACTCTCCGTCGACTTCTTCGCATCGCCGTTCCCATCGACATCTGCGACCACCGTCTCGGTGCGAGCACCGGCACCGCTAGCCGCGAGTCTTTTTCTCAGTCCAGCCTTTCCTCGCAAAGGCTCCTCGGGTACCTCCTCCTCGACGACCTCCGGCTTCCGTTCGATCACAGGCTCCCCTACACCTACCCGACAGTCACCGCCCACATGCGACAAAGGGGCTAGAGGACCGATCGTGACAGACAGCGCCACCCACACGCATAACATTTGCAAAAATCCGCTCGTGAAGAACGCCGCGATCAGCAGAGCGCCTGCCACTGCAGCCGACACCGCAATCTCCACATTTGATAACTCTACGTCCAGATCCGGTGGTCTATCATTCACTGCACCTGCCACGACTTGCAGCCTCGGCTTGGAAATCTCATAGTAGTCATCATAATCATCCATGGAGGCAGCAGCAACCTTTGCCGCCTCTTTTTCTCAGCAAGAGACAAGAGTCGTCTTCGCGCCTTCACACC